ATATCCTAGACTGACAAATCATCTCCGTTCAGAATCGTTTTTCGTATACAATGATACCTATCATTGCATTCAAATTTAATCCCATCCATTACAGTAACCTACTGTACAGCAGAGCGACATCCACGACTTACCCGCTATTTTTTTTAATATTATTAAATCAAGGCTTCCACATATCAGCCTGTTGTTGGTTAGTTCTCGACCTTTTTATGTTTGCGTACCGCCTGGCACCTACGAAGTATGAAAATGTTCATGTACCACTTGACCAAATAAACTTTTTTTTGCTTATTAAAATTGTAGGTATGCATTATTTTACTTTTACTGAATTCTATACGTGTATTATGCGATCGATTTAATTTTATTCATTAAGGGAGATTTTCTTAGCATACCATATAATATAAGCTTTATGCGTACTACAGGTCGAAATGGTGCTGGCGTAGACTATTAATATATCTATTATTGTGTCTAGGATCGGCGCTAGGATCTGCGGGGCTCCAGGCAAAATAAATAACAGTCTCATTACATATTATCCAAACTAACTAATCTCTGAACAGTATAAAATATAATTTAAGAACTGCGGGGCCTTGATTATAATTTTAAAATCGCGGGGCCCGGGGCAACTGCCCCGATTGCCCCCTCCCCCTGGCGCCGTCACTGATTCTGTCTGTACCTATTACTGACATACACGTAATGCGCTTTGTGATAAATGAGAGAAAAGAGAACAATGTTTTATCATAGAATATTCAGAAATAAAATCAATGTAGTAAAACTTAATAAATTACACGTACACCTCCACCACGGAGGCTTCGACATTCCGTGCGTATAACAAAAACATTAAATTAGATGGAAAATGTAATTCAATCGAATATCAAAATGAATATCGCTAAGTTACTAACATTGTATTATGTTGTCGTGTTATTTCGTTATACATTTTAGTTATTGACGATTTATACTTTTACAATATAGGTATCATAATATGTTTTAAATCAATGTGAAAATCACAGACTCGTATAAGAAGGATTGTAGTTAGTATGCTCCGACGCTCCATCTATAATTATTATATTATGAGGCGTAAATTAGTCAATTACATGTAACTCCGATGATTTTCATGTTACATGTTTACATACCGTAGCATTTTTTTTTTGTAACTATTTGTTCAGATTTATTGCGAAAATGTTTCTGTTCTAAGAAAATGAATGGTCCATTCAACATGTGTCTTAGGTTGAATAAAGCGGAAATTACAAGACATTTCAGACGCACATAACAACAATTGTCTATTATAACATTTATAACATCTATGATTTGCTACAAGAGGCGGTGAACGGTCACCTAGGTCCTCGTCCAATTAGTACCCACGTACCAAAGTCCTAAGGAACTAATAGGTGGTTTCACATAATGATATTATTAACAAATCGAAAGATATTGTCCATTTAAACTACGATTTAAGACGTATATCTTTCAAAGGATACAGTTTACTGTGGGGATTCTATAGGTGATACGGATACGTCATACGTCACCCGGTCACCGTCGACACAACAATATAATTGTATTTTACCGTCGTCTGCAGTGTGTGGCGACTAGCGAGTGACGACTTCAGTCTGTAGATGTTGTTGTATATAGATAAGTGTTGTACATAACATAACCAACAAATCATTACGAACATAATTTATTGGAGATGATAATAATATAATTTCCTTTGTCCAACCTCGTGACTCGGTCACCGCACGATTACCGCGGTACGTCGCTGTCGGTAGTGGCGCTATCGTTATCGCACGGCGTCGTCGTACCTTATCATCTGAACGTTTCGTTTGATTCCAATTTATTCTTTTGATCGTTACCGTTCTTTTATTGAAAATTATATATATTTCGCCTGTTATACCGCAGTGCATAGACTCTGTTCTCTCGAATCTCTTCCCAGTCCCTGTCGTTCAGTTTTCGACGTCCAGCCCACGTGTCCGAGTCCTATCGCAACAGGCCGACTTTTCCTACGACAAGAGACACGAACAATACGCATGTCAATCCAGAATCTCAACGTTTTTGGTGAGTAATGAGTGTCGCGTAGTCGTAAACGCCGTCCATCTTGGCGGGGCGAGAACGAGGCGCACCGAACAAATCAGATTCCGTCGCAGTAATATATATTTTTCTTCTTCGTTTTTTCGTTTTCTACACGGAAAGCACGTCGCTTGTCGCCGACACACTGCACTTGCGCCGGAGTGCTCGATAGCGTGTTTTAGGGCGTCACCTCAATGGCTCAGTTTCGGATTGTCACCCTTTTGCGTTTTTTCGCGTCAACTCCTACCGTCGTGTCACGTGGCCGTCGAAAAGAATAAAAGCTATGTCGGTCGCAAACGACCGTACGCCTCATCTTAGGTCACCACAGTTATTCCCTTGATCATTTTTCCCATTTTGGTTTCACGTTACATCCTTGTTGTGGGTCTCAAATGTCGGTCATTTCCATCCGGTTCTGTTTGGTGGCGTTCCATTGACTTAGGTAACACATCTACAATGATGAGAATCTGGAACCTTATGAAATCTGTGACTTAACCTAGGGTGACCATACGTCCTGTTTTTTACAGGATTGTCCTTTATTTCAGCGTTGTGCCCTGTTGTCCTGACAAACTTCATTCAGGACGCTTTTTGTCCTGTTTTTTTGATCAAACAAAATTAATGAATTTGAAAACRAAACTTACGAAAGTAATGAATAATGATTATAATTGTAATCTTGTGATTGTCTGAATTTATCAGTGTGGTGTATGTCTACGAGTTAAAGGAGTTTATCGGAGTTATCAGATTGACCGTTATCGGACTATATGCTTTCGATTCTATCAATTTATATCACTGAAAATACGTTTTGTGAATACGGTTATCTTTATTATAGCGAAGCTATTGCTATTAGTTTGGTACCAACAATCGTTGAGTGTTGTTGACTTGTTGATAATCGTTTATATATATATATATATTAAGTATTAATAAAAAAAAATTAAATTATTATTAATTTTGTCCTGTATATTTTTTTTAATATGGTCACCCTAACTTAACCATCATACATATTCTGAGTAGACCTTCAACACTATTAGATTTCATTGCGCGCTCTTTCGGTAGTCTTTAACAACACCACCAAAAAGTACTAAACTTTGATTTCTATCATAATTATCTGGAGTTGATACTCTACGTTGAGTCTTCCATGCCATTGTTCAAGTAGTGTTTATGTATTTATCCATTTATCTAGTGTAAACTCTTAAGCTTTTAACTAGGGTTACTACGTTTAAGTACCTAGATATTGTATTTTTCTTCTAATTTTTTTTGAGTTTTATACATCAAACTGTAAGTGCCCACTACTCAGAATTAATAACAAGCGTTTTTTAAATTTTAATATCAATCTAAGCTAACTTTCTCAAAATGTATTTACTTCTCCCATATGATCTGGCAAATTACAGCCATGCTATTTTGATTATTGTTGTAATAATTGCTTAATAATTTTATTTTAAAATTACTTATTGTTGATATTTTATATTTAAGACCCGTTTGCTGATGCAAACAAGGGTGCAGATGATGATGTACAAGATGGGCTTGTTCATATAAGAATTCAACAGCGTAATGGTCGCAAAACATTAACAACGGTACAAGGTCTGTCATCAGAATATGACTTGAAGAAGATTGTACGAGCTTGCAAAATGGTAATAATAATTAATATTAAATATTTCTTTTATTAAAGTATACTTTATCTAATTTTACTGTTTACTTATTTTGACTGTTAATAATTCTTTTTTTGTAATACTATAAAATGTTAAGACTTAAGACAAAAGACTTATACATAAATGCACAACATACAATATAGTATAGTTATACATAATTGTTTAGATACATATTATAATATTTTATTATTTTAAAACTATGTCTTACTATCAGTACACTATACCAAAGTGTCTTAAAACTAGTTTTACTTAGTATATTATATTATATGCCTACCTAAATTAAAATAACTAATTTCATTTAATTATTTACTATATTTACTACGTTTAATTACTATTCTATATTTATTAATAATAGTTAAAAAGCTGTTGGTGAAGTATGTATTTTATTTTTAGACCCAATAAAACATAAGCCACAATTAATCTTAGAGTTAAATCACATTTTACAAAAATTATTGAGAATAATATTTTGATGGGGTATTTATGTTGTTTGTGGTTTAACGCACACTTGTCGTCTACCACATATGTTTCTACACGTCATATGCGGTCTACTGCCGTGTATCTATATATATTTTTTTGGTTTAAAACTTCTAGTTATTAAAAATATGCATAGTACATCTCCATCATTGCTGCCCTCATATTTGGTGGAACAATGGTGGCGTCTATAAAACAAGAATGACAACACATTTGATTGTTTTTTAAGAGAGGTTAAATTATATTGTACCTAATTTAAATTGATTAATGCATATTTCTATATAATTTACATTTTTTTTCAGTTAGTTTTTAATACATATACTAATTAAATGTACCTACATATTATAATGAATTAATACATATTTTTATATATTTTATTGTATTATTAAATATTATATTTAAATTCTACATTAATAAATATATTGTAATTCTACATTTATGTATCCATTTTTTATAGTTATAGATTGTTTGGTAAAAACTTATACAGGTTACCATCATTTTAATAGATACTTCCACTAAATTATAATAAATTTAAATTATTTTAATATTTTAGGAGTTTGCTTGCAACGGCACTGTAGTTGATCATCCCGAGTATGGTGAAGTATTACAACTTCAAGGGGACCAGCGAGAAAACATTTGCCAATGGTTAACTAAATGTGGTCTTGCCAAGTCCGATCAACTCAAGGTCCATGGTTTCTAATGCTTTGTATTATTACATTACTCAGTCAAACAAATCATAATAAATTAAAAATTAAAAATATATGTTAATAAATTTAATGTTTGATTCTACTGATTTTTTAATTTTTTATTTAAATTTAAATTTAAGTGTAGATTCAAATTAGCATTAGTGATAATATCTTAGTGTTATCTTATTACTGGTATATTGTTGGTACTGACATATTTAGAGAACATTTTCAAAATGTTTTTCATATCTTAATGTATCAAGAAATTTTTTTATCTGTATTACACATAGTTCCACATTTTACTTAGTATGATATTGGTGTTAAAATCTTCATTAAATTTATGGCATTTAAATGTTTTTCTTTTATATATTTAATGTATATATTTACTGGCGTGGATCTAGAAAAATAAAATGGAGGGGAGACTAATTTTTCAGAATAAATTCGATTACAATTTTAGTTTGCACCAGATTAGATAATAATAGTTGCAATTGTATTTATATTTTAAATGTATACAATTTAAGATGTATGAAGTATTATGTATTATATAAATACATTCATAATATGTAATTTTTCTTTAGGCACCACCCAAAACCTCTTAGCCTCTGGATCCACGCCTGTATTTTTTCTTAAAATGTATTTACATTTTATTAACCATTCTAATTGTCCGAATCATTTAGTGAATTAGCTTTGGTAACTCTGTGACTGTTTAGTTATGAGCTAAAGGTGTGTCCCCACTGCATGCGGCTTTCTTTAATGTGAACTGACAACCATTGAGAATCTGCTGCTTCTGTTGATCGGCTACAAAAACCGAGATGCTTCACATCCACACCATAATAATGAAGTCGAGTGGTAAAGCTGCATGCCAACGGGGACGCGTCTTAGAGGGTTAGGTTAACCAAAGTTATTTATTAACTAAAGCTATCTATGGTTTGATAAAAAAAAAATAAAAAAATGTGAATACATAAAAGTACCAATTTTAATATAGACACTGTATACAACCTTTTAGTTAGTAAATGCACAACATTAGACATTTACGTTTTCAGAACCATATTGTTAAGATTAATTGTTGAATTGTCAAACTTAAATTTTAAAATAAAATTCTGTACATTTACAGGTTAGTTTTTATTAATGTTTTAATTTTACCGTCGATTTAATCTATTTAAAATTCTAAAATATTACAATTTAAAAATTTTGCAACTTAGCATATGAATTTAAGTAGCACTACTATCCAACTTGAATTCCAAGTATTTTTTTAACAAACAAGTTTGGCAATTATCATTTTAATTCAATATAGTAAAGTTTTCTTAAGAAAAAAAAAAAAAAAATTGGTTCTGCTGCACACAGATTTGGTAGGAAGTACATTATAAGACAGAGATGAAAAGATGAGAGGTACATGGCTGTAGTGTCACCTCAACTGAAATTGAATAATAATTACAAACCAATAATAGACTTGCACCAAAATTTACTGAATTTCAAGATTAGGTGTTAAGCTAAAGAGTTAATTAGTCAAAATTAAGTTAAGAAGGTTTATAACTTAACAGTTAATTATGATGACAAGTCGTAGATATATCATAAAATTTAAATATTAAAAAATTATTTAGAATTTTTTGTTAGGTTTTATTGATTCTTACATTTTAAAGTTCATTATGAGAGTTTTCAAACTGTAATGTTTTAGTGATTTAGATTGTTTATTTAGTTATAACTTATAACTCATAAAATTTTCAATAAAACTTGATGTAATCTACAGACCATTTTCAAATTTGACAATTCTTAACAACACATAATTGATTCTTCTGAACTTTAACGTTTATTATTATATTTAATAAACACAATCTTAATAATATTTTCAAAACATTTAGAGTATGTAGTTTTATCGCTAATTTATGCTATGAACAGTATGAACTATACTAACACCGTTCTATGGTATTGACTCAAAAGATAATAACAATTATATAGGTACAATATAATTAATTATATATTATTAATTTTAAAATAAGTTATTATAGAACAGTAAAATAAGTCATAAATATATCTAATTTATTAAATATATTTATTAAATATATATCATATATTTATATTTTTTATATTTATCTATAATAATATTTCATATTAAATAAATAATGTGTTATAATGTTTTGTGTATTTATGATAGAACTTAAATTGAAATTAAAAAAACTATTTTTCTATTGGATAATTTTAATATTTTAATAATGTTTTACGCTAACACTTTTTTTAACTTGGTAACTATTATTTATTGAACAGACATAAATTGTTTTACAGACAAAAAAAATTGAAACAAAAACCGAACAAGGTTGTGGAACCTAACTTAACCAACCGAACACCAAAAAAAATTAAAAAATACGATGCAATTAACTGGGCCGACAAAATCATGATGATAAAATGTAAAAATAATATTAAACTATTACTGTGTTACCAAACCTAACCAAACAAATAAAGATTTGAAATGTTAATACTTATAAATGAAAAGTTTTTATAATTTCAAATGAAAATATCGAATAAAATTGGGATATATCTTTTTTACAAAATAAATACTAATTTAATATGTTGACTTAATTCATCAAAGTTATGAGAATTCGCAAATTGTATTGATGTTAAAATTGTCTTAAGTTTAAGTTTTAAGTTAAGGTTTRAAAATTTAAAATAAAACTTCTCATAAGTATTTAATACTGTAGGTACGCAAAAAATCTTGAAATTATATAAACACTTTTTTACTAATTTATTTTTTTGTACGTAACTAAAAAATGTTTTTGGTAAAAATGAATTCATCCTACAGCTTTACTATTTATAAAATAAATAACCTATTTATAAATAAATAAATAGTTGTCCCGACAATGCTTTGCTATTTCTAGTCTTATAATTTTTTTTTTTACTCATCCTATTTTTTACATTTCTTTATAAACATTTTTTATACATTTCTATTGTAAGGATTCATTTAATTTTATAGGTTTTACCTTTATATTTTTACTTAAAGCTTCGCTGTACACTATGTTGGCACTTTGGCAGTGGTATACTGGTATTTGTAGGAGGCACAAAACCTATTGATTTTCAGAAAATCTACTCCAAAAAGACCATGAGGTAATAGTTGCTCATGAGAAGGCACCTTTCTTAGGTCGATGCTAGCTATCGAGAAAGATTGTTCCCGGGATTTATTTATTGTAAGGGCAAAACAATATTTTTACAGGAAACCTCTAAACCTTTTATAAGATTTAGCCAGCTACAGTACCATAGATGATTATCGCTGCGCTCTGTGGGGCATTTATTTTCCTACTATATTATTATTTACTTGAGAATGTTGAGATTGGCATTATTTAAATTAGCAATATCTTTTGAATAGAATGTCCGATTTAATTGTATCGCGAAATCGTTTGTAGATATTGATAGGTTTATTAATATTGTACAACATTTTTTTGTTCTATTATCAATATTCATGCGATGAATTATACGTTAGTTTACATTATTGAAGTTTTATTAGAAAAGATCCCTAATTTGTTCTAGTAATAAATATCTTGTGTTATACTTAGGGATGATGAAGTTATCTAATGGTGAATGAATTTTTGAAATCGGTGCAGTAGTTTTTGAGTTTATTCGTTACAAACATACAACAATAATACATATCACTCCTTTTTAACTCATTAATAATTATTAACGAGTTTAGAAAAAAATTCTTTATTATGAGCCGTAAATCGAAATGATCTTAGAAATTGCTCGCGGTACACGGTTTGAGAACCGCGTTGATATTAAGTATAACTTAATATCCTACGTTACACCCGCATGTATTGTCTCCCTCTACAAGTGCGTAACATACCATACAATTGTACACTCGGAAGTCAGAAGATCACGTTTTTCACCGTAAACTTACAATTTAGAACGAATTGACTATTAAAAATAAAAGTAACATTATTATCGAGGGCTTCTCATAGGCTTTTTATTATATTTTAATTTTAAAGCGAATTATGAGTATTTTAAGATATACAAACATTAAACAATTTTTAAATACTCAAAACTTGTTTTAAAATAAAATATTATTATAAAAATCCTATGAGAAACCCTAGATTATAATGTTATCTTCAGTTTGTATAAGAGGTCAATTCACCCTAAATTTTAAACTCACAGAACTAAACGCGATCTGCTGAGTGTAAAATTTGCTATGTTATGCAATATTGTAGTAAAACGGAGATAACATATTATGCGGGTATAACGACCTCTTGTATAGTCAGTATGGATAACCTATCCCAATAGTATTAATAATTATGGTTATGACTCAAAATATATACTTATAGAAATTGTCATACTGACATTGTATGTTGGATTCTGAGTGGAGTGATGAATGTATTGATTTTACAATGATGACAATGATGTGTGTGTGTGTGTGTACGATAAGTTGTCGAAATAATGCTTCAATTTTCAACTTCTGCAATAAATTTTCCGGTKGGAAATTAGTGAATCTAGTTGAACTCTAAAACAAATTACCTACCATAGATACATGACATTTTCACCGAATGTTCAAATAAACATTTTCTATACTTGATAAAATGTTCAAATTATTTAAAATATTTTAAAGTTATTTTTATACATTTTCAATTTTTAATTATTTTCGTTCATTTTTCTTTAAATGACAATAGAATTTTATTCGTTAGATATAAAAGCTTTAAGATCTAATAACGAGACTTCTAAAATATTGTTAAAATGCTAGTTAAAAAATATTAAGAGTACATAGGTAGTTACAATTTTTTTTTAATAAGCATTTTAAGTTCAAATTTTGGCAAAATACGTAAAGAAAATTACTCTGAGTTAATAATTCATAAAACTTCATCTTTTAAAATCTAAGATTTGAAAATTCTATACAAGATTCTTCATTACTTCATGAGTTTGTCTACTTTTGTCAAATAAAAAATGTTTACCTGAAAGTYAAATTAAAATTTTATGAGCATTTGAATTTAAAATTTTTACAACATTAGATATTCACTCAATTTCTATTGTACCGATATTTTTATTATGTTGTTATTCAAAAGCGAATAATTGCAGAAACTTTAAATTTACACTATATGTTTATTTCATCAATTCCTATAGTTGATAAAATTTTCAAAATATTTCAACTTTTTTAATAATAAATTTATAAACATTTGATATTATCGTTGTTTAGGTTTTTATTCTATAAATGTTAATAACATTTTATTCAGTAGGTCAAAAAACTTGAAAATTGTATACAAGGTTCCCCAAAAATTGTTATAATAGCAGTTAGAAAATGTTTAAAATACATACGCATGTTTTTCTTTTATAATCGTTTAAAGTTCAAATGTTGACAAAATTTATTAAATTGATAAACCGGTTTTGCTGATTTTTTACAAAAATATAGTATTTCCATGAAAAAACTCATTTTTTATAAAAAAAAGAGCTATCTGATTATTATACACAGAGCCCTTCATTTACGAATGGAGCTTCGCAGAAAAAAAWTTTTTGWGKCCGTATATAATATTGCCTAAATTTAGCMCCTTTTTTGCAGCTATCAAAATGTGATAACATAATTTTCATTATAATTTATAATATAATAGTTTATTATAATTAGATTTAATGGTTTTATATATTGCTAAATTAAAATAGTTAAATAAATTTAATAATACACACTTCGTTGCGAATATTTCAAGTGAAAATATAATACAAAATATGTTATGATATTAATAAATAATAATAATAATTAACTTTATTGCAACAACTACAATACATACATAACAAAAATAAAAATACCATGAATCACATATCGTAGCAACCCCTAAAAACAAATCTTGTGCTGGAGGAGCGAATTCTTATTACCTAAAAATATACATAAATTGAAAAATATAATATAATAACAAATCTGTTKTTCACACTATTATAACATTATAATACATAATACAACATTTTAAATAATCTTAYTATAATCATATTATCTTTGAAAAATCAGCATGTCTAAGATAAGTTTTGAAAGAGTTTAAAGTATCAAATTGATTTATATTAATATTTAATAACCGACATAAACAATTAAAACCAGTATACAATACACTTTTTGTCTAAAGGCTTTTTGGCATTTCAATACACGAACATTAACATTTTGTTTATATCATGATCATGATCTGATACAGGTATTAAATGTTTATGCTGAAACAAGTCTACTAATACAGCTTGATTAAATACTACCTTAAAATTATTTACATTCAGTTTTTCATAAATTAAAATAGTACTTGTTTGCAGAGGAAGATTTAATAATACCATTTATTGTAACATTTAAGTTATGTACAATGCTATTATAAGCTCCTCCCCAAATGGATATACCATATGAAAAAATAGATTGTACTAAAGCTAAATAAATAATTCTTTTATAATTTACATCTAAAATATACCTGGCTTCATTAAATATATAGAAAAGTTTACGTAAAATACCATTTATGTAATTTACATCCCATTCCATCTAAGTCTATAATCTATTTTTAAGCCTAGATATTTTAATTCATTGACTTTTTCAAGTTTTACACATTTTAGATCATATTTAGTTAAATTAGAATTGCATTTTAGGGAATGTACAATTAAATTATATCCATGTAAAACATTATTAAAAGATAAATTAAAACAAATAAATTTAGATTTTAGTAAATTCAACTTTAATTTATTTTTACAAAACCAAGCATAATATACATCTGATGTATTACATCATTTAAAATATTATTTGCTTCATGATACAAGTTGTCGACTGTTGGTTCGGATATTAGTATAGCCGAAACTTATGAATTCTTTATTACTATTTATATTTATGTTAAATAAGTCATTTATAAAAAAGATAAACAACAATGGGCCTAAGATTGTTCCCTGTGGAACTCCACAATTTATGCCTGTAGCTTTACTTTAGGTAACACTCATTTATTTAAATAATTTGAGTTCTTTCACTTAAGAAATATTTTAATAGATTATTAGCAACTCCCCGAATACCTTAATATTCTAGCTTTTTTAATAATAACTCATGATTTACGCAATCAAAGGATTTTTGTATGTCAAGAAAAATACCCATTACTTTGTAATTAATGTCAATATGTCTACGAACAAAGTAATCAAGTTTAAAAAGAGCATCAGTTGTTGACAAACCAGGCCAAGAAACCAAACTGTAAATTAGAGAAAAATGAATTCTTATTAAAGTAATTTAATAAACAATTTTTGATCCATTTCTCAAAAATTTTTGATATAGTTAGGGATAATGAGATAGGTCTATAATTTCGACATGATAAATTATCACCTGATTTAAATAATGGAATAACAGTACATTTTTTAAAAGCTAAAGGAAAAACACCTTTTAATAAAGACTTATTAAAAATTAACGATAATGGTATAGAAATAGTTGTTAGACCATGTTCATAATATGAGTTAAAATTGTTAATCTTATCAATATACTCACTAATCTCTTCACTACTGATTTGATTAAGAAAAATACTGTTATTGCTCTGATTTTTATCATTAAAGTTAATAACAGTTGGATTTATATGTTCTATTTCTAAATTATTTTCTACGTTTACAAAAAAGTCATTAAACTCATTACAAATTTCAGTTTTAGATTCAATAATAATACCATTTTTATTTTTATTTGTAATTTTATTAATATTATTCATTTGCTTGCACGGTGTACCCATAATTTCATATATAACTTTCCAGATTTGTTTACTGTCAGATTTATATTGCTTTAATTTATTTTTATAGTACATCTGTTTTCTTAGAAAATAAATTATTATTATTATTGCATAAAKTATTAATACATAGTCACATTTTGTAGCCTACATTAAAAATAAAACTTATTAAATCTATTGATAATAAAGACAAGTTTACTTCTAAAACTTAGATATTTACTTTTTAAAATTATATAAAAGTATAGATTATCTAACTTGTCACAACAAATTTTACTTCTGGTTAAGAAATAAAAACATTTGTTAGCTAAATCACTAGTGACAACTGCTTGTGATCAGTATTTTTTGAGTAGTAGAGAATATAATAATGACATAGATTGTTAATTGAGCAAAATCAATGCTACCTATAAATATTATTGGTACTTACTACCAAGATATTTTCAAGACTACCTATTATAATCTTCCGGGGTTATCTCAAATACTTAAAAAAAATTAAGACTTCCTCGTATAAACTGATGAGATGCCGTTTACTTATATTGAATTAATAATTGTGAATTTTGATTTTAATTTTTGTTTTAAATTTTAAAAATAATGTTATATTGAAAATAAATTATTTTTATCTGTTAAATACATTAAAGCTACCTAATAACTATTAAATATTTTCTTGTTACAATACATACCAGATAAATATAATAACAGAATCAAGTGTCTTAAATATTTGATTAAGTGGCAAAAATATAATAAAAATAAAATTTACTTTGTATTTAAAAATTGCTGTAGTGAAAATAACAATAGAAGTTAGTATTGAAATTATTTCAGTAATCGAGATAAACTATTTATACATATAAGGTAGTCAAAATAACATGAAAGTATCATATGATTGAGCTATTGATAAAAAGTAAAATTAAAAAAAAAAATCAATAACTATTGTAACGCCAAATGGTCAAAACAAATTATTAATATTATTATTTTAAAAAAACGATAATCATACTTTTGTTAGCACATTTACATTTGTCTTCTATTGACTAGAGTAGTTAAATATTAAAGTTATAAACAGTGTCGGCCTGGTAATTAAAGGGCCCCTGATGCATTTCTTCAGAAGGGCCCCCAAAACATGCTATTAAATAAAAATGATAAAAAATGCTTATTAGTAGTGAAATATTATACTTTTAGTAATATCGGGGCCCCTCGACACAAATACGGCCGGGAGCCCTGGATGCGTTCGCGGCCTGGCGGCCATGACCAGGCCGACACTGGTTATAAAGTTAAATAAAATTTATAATATGATTGTTTTTTTTATTAAAAAAATTATATGTTATTTAATCTATCACAATGTGTTCAAACAAAAAAGTTTAAAGGAGTTTAAAAAGAATATGTAAACACAGATACATAATTAAAGTTTAAACAATAACTTCTTGAATTTTTTGATTTGCGATTTGTACCAATTTCTCAAACGTATGATATAACATTAAACAAAGTAAAATACAGAATATAACTAATTACATATTATTATTTGATAAAATATATAATTCAATTAGTATAATAGCACTATTGGATAACAAAAACCAACACACAATATTCATTTTGTCAAATCATTTATTAATTTTTTTCATCTATTCTTTAGTTATAAAATGTAATCAAATACCTAGTAACTTACACATTTTATATAGAATAGATTATTTAAATTTAAAATGTGATGAATATAATGATATTGTTTTTAAATTGACCATGTTGATATAGTTAATACATTACATTATTATTAAGTTCATCATCACATTGTTTTTTTAAATCCTTTATTAAGAATTTCAAAATATGTAATGTAATTCTTAATTTTTTTTCTTGTTGATCCAGTATCCTCTCTTTTAACAATAATTTACTGCCTTTCCTCTTATGACGTCTTTCAGTGGCGAGATTATATTTAACTAAAGATTTTTTCCTGTGAATAATAAATAACATCAAACATTATTTTAATTATGATTTGAAATTAATATAATATGAAGCATAAATACTTTTTGGGAGGGTTTTCTTCAGTAACCTCAGATGTTGTATTGTCCATAATAATATCACAAGATTTTGATTCCATTGAAATGTGTTACAATATTATTTCAGTACTGTATTATCTGCCAACTAAAATACAAAATAATGGAATTAAAAATATAATATTCTCCCACACAATGTTAATACATTTACAAGAAGTACTTTGTATCATAATACACATTAATTCAAGAAATAGACTATATTGTGTGTGACCAATCATTAAACAATAACATTAGGAAATCATAAAAGAAGATAATTAAACTTGTTATTCTTAGATGGAAAATAATTATAAATATGTGTCATGACTACATAGCTTTAGTGGGGATATACAAATGAATACCTACAATATATAATATTCTATAAGCAACTGCAAGTTTTTGACATTTAAATACATTGCCTGGTTGACATAATAAAGTTATAACAATTAATCAGAAAGACCCATCGGCCAGACTAAAACAAAATAGGGTTAATCAATATAACATAACTGCTGATATAGCAGATAGAGGTGTTGAACCATATAACCTACTCTAAGAGTTGCACTGGGGCTGGTAAGAGATGGAGTACTTGTATAAAGTTAATACAATAGTAAAATTAGTTGACCCCGCTAAATAAGCCAGGGTCAAACTGTGGTGCAAAAGTATTACCATCGATTATAATTACTATTATAGTAATAAAGTAAATAGGATTTATAATAAATGGTATTACGTAATATGTCGACAACTGTTCACGAAGACTTTTAAAAAACACAAAATTCGGCGTTGACCATGGCATTGATAATACTGCTTTTTTTCCGGAGATATACCAAAACTCGTTAAACCAAAACCAACCCATACATTTTGACCATTATATTTTACCGAAGATATGAAAATTTTATTTATTTATTGTTAGAATTATCATTACCAGCTGATTTTTACAATACTATAGACAATGAGATTTAAAAGTCTGCATCAAGTACTCACGTATAAGCCGACAATTAAAACAGCAGTAACGATTGACCAGTGACAACTGACGAGTGACAGACGCTAATAGAATCAGACGTGTAACGAGTGAGTGACAATCTTCAACTTTCAAGATTCAGAAAGCAGTCTCTGTAGTTCTTGAAAACGTGGAATTCTTATTGCGTCATAAGAAATTACAATGATAGGTATTAGAAATTTAGGTATATCTTATCATAAATAAGCGTGCGCATTAAGTGGAGGAATAATGGCTACAGGTCGATAGCATTCAGTACTACCAACCAATGGCGTAATTTGGTCATGTTTGTTGTGGAGATGAAATGGATTGTTATGCATTTTACCTCCCCCCCCCCAAAAAAAAAACAATTATAATTATAATACCTAACAATTGTATTTTATTTATCATTAGCCTATTGTTTACCTGAAGATAATTTTGCACCATCGTTCTTAACTCGTTGAAATTCATATGGTTAAAAATATTTTTTTTTTTTTTAAAACGATGGTTAGCTAAAGCGAATTTGTTCCCATGTAAAAAACAGAGTATCGCAAAAACAACAGAATGATGAATGATGCAACACAGTTATAATAGCAGGGTATAGACACTGTGTGTAATGGCAAAATCTGGTGACTGTGGCCTTGAACACGGTCTCTAGAAGGGCGTGGCATGCGTTATCACTTAAATAAATCATATCATTATTATCACACAAAAAGAGACAGAACTGATATAGTGTTTTGTAATGCTTATTGTCCATTGCGTTGTTTGGTTGTTTCCGTTTTTAGAATTCCGTAACTAAGATGGATACACGTTGCTAACATTCTACCAGATTACGGATACGGTACAATTTCCAATATTTCAACCCATAGGCGACCGCAGGGGAGGGCAAGCTGGGGCATTTGCCCCCCTGGCTTTTTCAAAATATTATTTTTAATTGAATGTTTTAAGATAAATTACTATATACTATRCAACAAATTTAAAGTATAAAATATAATATATTGTATACGAGTATAATAAAAAAGGTTATTATTTTAAAACACAAAGTAAAATTATAATAATTATCCTCAAATCCTAACATTGCCCCCCCCCCCTAGAAAAATTTCTGCGGGCGCCTATGCTGAGTTCTGTGCTGTCTATTCTATATTGTTCTGTGATAATAGTAAAGTTAGTTCACGCCACGAATCACGATGTAGAGAATATATTATTATCTTCTCTATACATACGGTTCACATCATAGATAAGTATACCTCTCTCTAAGACTAAGATATACGGAATTACACGAAATGTTATATTACAGGTGGAGCTCAGGTGATATTTATTATTTAGCATTACTAGCGCCGTCTTAGTGTAACTTATCGAATTAAATAGCATTATAACAAATATCTAGTTCAATAAGTATCCACTAAGACGGCGCTAGTAATACTTAAAGGAAAAATACCCCCTACACTCCACCCTGTTCTATAATATTTTGTAACCATAATATTAATTTCGTATCCAGTCCTGTATATTTTAGTCCGTGCCTTACACTGATATTTTAAGTTAAAGGCGGTGGCAACAACAGCGTCTTTACCAAAGCCAGAGTAACAAACGTGACAAGGCTACCAACATCGCTGGTGAGAACGTCCGATCATTAGACGCAGCGGTAAATTTGAAATGTSACAGAGATCGAACTTGACAGTGTTTTTCGGTGCACCTAATCTTTGAAAAAATTTTCCAATCAAAGTTCTTTTTGTATTCTTATATTATTACTAGCAAAATACAAACTTTGAAAAAAAATCGATAGTTTAATTAGAATTATTATACAATATTAAGACGCCATATAACCATTTTATCGTCTCCGTCTTACAATTGCGTGACATGGCTAATTTATGTTGAACAGATCACATTTAGTTCCGTTAGTTTAAAAATTATAGTGAATTGACTTATTATAAAAATATTTTCATTATCTGTGTTTGTAGGTAGATTATTTATTTTATGATAATTCAATTTTAAAGCAAGTTGAGTATTTTCAATTTATTTTATATTTTATAACTTGTCAAAAAATTGAACTAAGTGAAAAAAAAACCCACATACAAATAAAGAAAATGTACTTAATAGTTAATATCAAGTATCATGATTAGTCAAACAGAGTTGACGCGATCTGCTGAGCGTAAATTTGTTATGTTACCTACGCATTTGTGGGACGGAAACAACAAACTGTCATGCATAGCTTCTTATATCGTATCGGGAGCATGTAAACTCCACCGTTTGCGACCTTTTTTCATGTAAATTCCACCGGTACGTTTATTATACCTGAAAAAAAAAATGTAAACTTCACCGATATGTTTTTTCATAGCAGCATCAAGTGAATTTTTTTTTCAATAAAGTAATAAATATATTTTAATAAAAAATAACAAATTAAAATAACAAATTGTGTAAAAAATAAATATAAATGGCATTTTTTTGAGGTAAAATGCATTTTTTAAGGACATTTTTGGCTATTTTTTAGAGCATATTTGTATGGTTTTGAGTACATTTAAATCCGGGCCCTAATTATAATATATCTATTGTATTTAAATACAATAATTAAAAAAAAAAATCATATACAAATATATAATTATTAATATTACGTAAGTAATACGTATACCTACATAATTTATGTACAGATTTATAATTTATATATATATTATATTCAGATACTTATATTTTTTTTTACACAATAATAAAATAAATAATATAATAATTATTGAATATCTAATAGAGCTTTTGTAAAGTGATRTATATTTGGATTTTTATATGGAATTTACGTGCTTTTAGGTCAAAAATACGTATCTGTGGAATTTACATGCTATGAATCCAATCCTAAAATTGACTACCTGTAAACAGTGACGTAAACTGGGGGTCGCACGGGGTCGCATTTGCGACCCCTGAAAATATCATAGGGTCGCAAGAGTATCTTTTTGCGACTCCAAAAACTCACAATATCATATTATATAGTTTTCAAAAAATTGAAATATCAATATAATAATAAATTAACTAATTTATATTTTGAGAACCAATGTTTAACTTTGTTTTGAAGCACTGGAATTATTATTATATTATTATATCCTTTCCACATTTATTTATAGTATTATTGTAGTTTTGTTATCAATCATTTTCTATTATTTTACCAATATGTATATTTATTGTGATCGGTCGACTCGAGTCTCAGTGGCAGCTAGTAGCTTCGTGGTTTAAAATTATTATTTGTTTGTTTTATACTTTTATACATTAATTTAATTTTTACACTTGTAAGTTGTATTTATTTCTTACTCGCGGTCGATTTAAAATTAAGTGTTTCAACACTACATTGATTCAAAATGGWAAAGTTTTTTGTTAAAATATATTACTGATTTATATTAATATTATATTAAAACTAAAATTTTTATAAATACAACAATATCATTTGTTAAATTACAGATCAAATATAAACTTTATATTTGACCTGTAATTTAATTTTTATATTAATTATTAGGTAGTATTATATAATTGAGCAAATTAAAATTATTTTGGTAAATATTTTTTTATTATTTTGGTACTAATTGTTGTACCTGCTTATTAGAAAAATACTAAAACAAATGCAAGCTTATCTGAAGAAAACCTCCATTCCCCAGAAAAAATATCAAAAATGGTAAATATAGTTAATACTTAATTTCATATCATATATCGTCGGCTTAGAACAAAAACTCATTAACGGTAATATGACAATTGTTGGTAAACGGCGTTTTAAATAATTGAATAATATTTTTTTGAACTTAACATTATAAAATGTTGTATTGTTATTGGATTTTTTAAAAATTTTTTTTCTATGATACAAAAACATATTACCAATTTTTTTGTTGCATACAAAATTTTTCCAATTTTGAAGAATTATTTAGAAAAAAATGATTAAACGCACTCATCTGAAAAAATAACAATTATTAAATTTTTGCATAAATTAATGTTATCTAATTTGAACGTGAAAGATCATATTTTATAGATAAAGATGAAGTAATAGACAAATTCAGTACTGCCGCAGAATGTAGAGGCCGCCGATTACTATTACTGCAGCGAATGAAAAAAAATAACTAATATTTTAAATCTGTACCTATAATATATATATATATATATTATATAGGAATTATATATTATACATTCATTTCTTTAATCGGTTTTGCACCGTATTCCCCTATATATATATATATTATATTTATTATATTAGTATTTATAGTATTATATTATAAAAAAAATCTAAATGGCAGCTGTTATATAAAATATAAATTTTATAGAATAAAGAAATTGTTTTTTTTTAATGTAGTCATTTATTGTTTAAGAAAATTATACATATTTTATTGACAGTAAATACCTAATTATATACCCTATTTAATATTTATAGGTGTATATACATGATATAAACCAATTACCAATAAATCCAATATGTGTTAAAATAGTTTTGTTGAATTTATGTACTGATTGTAATGATAAATTTAGAATAAAATAAAACATTTTAAGGGGGTTGTGGGGGGGCGAAGGTTAGGTTTTATACTATATTAATTTAATCATTGATTTTATATAGTATAAAATATACGATTAGACTGACCAACTGTTTCCGTTCGGAATCGTTTTTCGTGTTAAATTCAAACTTAATACCATCCATTACAGTGACTTTATTGACATCTAAATAATACAGCTGTGGACTGTTATCCACTTACCCGCTTTTTAGATTCTGAGCGGAGCGATGAATGTATTGATTTTACCATGATGTGTGTGTGTGTTTTTTTTTTTTTTGTGTCTGTCATCACGTTTTGGGGCAGTAAAAGTGCTTCGATTTTTGACTTCAGTACCTTATTCGATCAAAAAGTGAATCTAGTTGGTACTTGGGGGTCAAAAGTGAAAAATTCTTAATACTTTTCTAAATAATCGAGAAAAACAAACTAAAAATTAAGGGAAAAACGGGAAATTTTATGCACGCTCATTTTTCGACAAAATCGATTTTGGTTTTTGATGTAACTTTAAAACAAATGACCATAGATACATGAAATTTTCACCGAATGTTT